ATTGTACTTAACATTACATGGATCATTTCGTGAGTAGTATTATAGTATATTACTTGTTCTGGATTTCTTGCGGATATTGTACCTTGATTCAAAATATATATGCAGAAAGACGATCTTGGTATATGCCTTTGAAACTGATTCTTGGTTTTGGCAATGAGTAACTCGGGAACTAAAGCTAAAGAACGATCTTGCTGATGCCACGGAGGTTAGTTTCTTCTCTTATATCAGTCTGTCTTTCTCATTTCATTCGTAAAGGATTCGGTTTTTATAGTCTTTTTTTTTTAACACATGAGTTGAGCAAACTGAATCTATGGTCTAAGATATATGCTGTGACACTAACAAGTTAGATTTTCCATAGAAGAACATGCTTAAGTAGTCCACAGAGGTGGCCAAAAGAGTCCCATTGTAATGCTAATGGTTGGTGCCTACCGCGAGGATTTTTGGTGAATATTTACACTTTTGTGTTGAGGTTTCATGCTTGTTGGCAGCTCTCTTTTTGTTACAATACCACTCGCATAATCATTTAGGCTATTTTCTGCATCACAAAATGTTCTTATAATCTCATTTTTCCCGGTCTCACGTCCGTTTAATATGCTGCATGCCTAAAATCTAGTTGTTCCAATTTGCTACAAAATGGAATTACTGTTTGATTATTTATCTTCGGTCCCCTAGTATATTATACTTGTTTAGTAGAACTTCATGGTTTTAGTGTTTCAATGGCTCAAAGGTTAAGCGTGCTCCTTTCTTGTTTTCATGGCTTGTGAATCTTCCCAATGTGTCTAAGCATTTTCAAAGAAACAGCACTCTAAAAGTAAAATCTTCAAATGTGTTCCTTATGGAACTTATACGAAAATGTCTGCTCTTGGGAGCCTTAGGATACAGGCCAGCATTCTTACTCGCGGAGACTGTAGGAGACCATGTCTTGAGAGAGAAGCTCAAAAAACTTTCCCTCATACGTAGTAGTATTTCATTGGAACAGAGTTGTACTCTTGTAACCACTCCTACGACTCTCCTTGAGCAAGAGAAGAATCTCGGTACTAGTGTTGGCAAGGCAATCGACTTTATCAAAGCTCAAGTCTCAAAGAAGAAAGGTAATGAGACAGAGAAAACCAATATGAGATGGAGAAAGGCGAAAACGTGGAGCCCCTTTTTTCACATCGTGCCGGAACGTGTGGGAAGACGCATAGAATCTGCAAAAGGCAAACTTAGAGTTGGCCTCAAGCTCTTAGTCGAGGAGGGGAGTAAATGATATGTGATTGAGTTTACGAGTTTTTAGTTAAAAGGGTTTTGGAATTTTTTCCTTTTTGAATTAGGTTTATGATTAACTTGTCGTGGTTTATATAAAGGTCTTTATTGATTAATAAGAAATCAAGTTCCAAGAATTAACCTTAATATTGATGCACAACGACGTTGGACCGATGATGTGCATTATATCAAATTCAATGAGTTTCGACTGCCTTCCCTGTCTTGTTGGATCGATGATTCCAGCATCGCATTCTTTTCAGAACCGCTTCGGTGAGTTTGGAGTTTGTAGCTTGGGTCAAACAGGAAAAAACAATGTGCTAAAAATAGTATAGCTTCTCCTTATCTTTTGGTATATACACTGGCAACAAGAGATGTGTCAAATGACTCAAATCCCAAAAGATTAGAAAAAAATGAAACGTTTTAGCAAAAGGGAAGTAAGTGCTCACATTGACTATATCGATCAAATATCGCGGTAAGAATTCACTTAGAGCGGTTACACTGCTTTCAGAAAGTCTGGTGGATTTAGAGTCTTGGAAACAATTGATTAAAGCTCCAACAATCCCCTTCAATCTCTCAGAGACATGATACGCGCCATATAACAATAACTTAATATTGATGAGGAAAAGAGAACAGATTGCACATACGAACACATTCTTTTGCAGCATCTTTCTCATAGGCGAGTAGCGTTTCGTTCTGTAAATGTCCCCCTACAAATGGGGCAAAATGTAAAAAAGAAACAGTTTTTGAATAGAGAAAACAGAGCACAATCTTTTTTTTTTTTGGTCAATCGAAAATGCTCTGTTTCTTTTATATTTATTACTATCTTCCGATCTATCCTATGCTTTGTCTGTCATTTACATTTACG